GGAAAGCAGCAATTGATTTTATTTCCTGCTGTAACTGCCCCCATTATCTGAACATATCTCATCTCTCCCTTTGGTCCTTATCATGTCTCTTCCTGGCAATGATGGCACCTCTCAAGAGCCCCACAGCAAACCACTAGGCGACCTCTCAGATGTCATTCCTCAAGACAGGTGAGCTGAGGCTGGTGTCCTAAGGTTTTCCGAGACTTTATTGTTTTAAAGTTCCCTAAGGTGTTTCTAAAAAGATGATTATAGGCCTCATAAATAAACCGATCAACAGTTAACAGGTTCCTCAAAGTCAGCATGTTCAACAAGTTCAATTCAATATTTGGGGCAGGGAGAGTCCAATATTAATTTTCAAAATGAATATGTAATAAAGGAACAGGAAATGCAAACTCCACAAAGCATCATAGAAAAGTTAGGTGCAGTTAGAAACCCCTTAAACAAAGGCTGGGCACATTTACCTCACAGTGCTACGAATTTCAAAAATATTTTATTCATCCCACATCACCATAAAAGCAAAAAATCAATGGATGGATGGATGGATGGATGGTCAACTAATGGCAGGCAGTTTAGCTTCATAGCTAAGAGCAGAGCTTCTGGAGTTGGGCGGCCTGAAGTTTGGTCCAGGATCCTCATTTCCCATCTCTGTGACCTTCTTAGACACCTGAGTCTTATCTGCTCAATGGGGTGACTATAATACCTGCCGCATAGATGGGGCGAGGCGTTAATTAATTAATGCATGGCAGAGCACTCAGCACAGTGCCTGGGACAAAGTGAGTTTGCGATAAATGTTAGTTGGGATCATCTTCATCACTCTAATTCCTTAAAAAAAGGAAACAAGCCAGTATGAGCAATTAAAAAGAGAGTACAATTTTCTAAGCTGTAATTAGGGAAATGAGGTAGCAACGTCATTTATTAGCTTTTCCCAGCATAATTCATTAGAAGGCATTGAGTTCACAGTAATGAGCAGAAGTGGCAATCTGGGGGTGGGGTGAGGCCATTTACAAATTACTGAACACAACTTACATCAAATCCGAAGACTGCATATACCCAATTGACTTTTTTTTTTTTTTGGCTGTGTTGGGTCTTTGCTGCTGCGCGCAGGCTTTCCCTAGCTGCAGCGAGCGGGGGCTACTCTTCGTTGTGGTGCGTGGGCTTCACATTGCGGTGGCTTCTCTTGTTGCGGAGCACGGGCTCTAGGTGCACAGGTTTCAGTAGTTGTGGCTCGCGGGCTCTAGACTGCAGGCTCAGTAGTTGTGGCGCACGGGCTTAGCTACTCCGCAGCATGTGGGATCTTCCCAGACCAGGGATGGAACATGTGCCCCCTGCATTGGTAGGCGGATTCTTAACCACTGCGCCACCAGGGAAGTCTCCCAATTTACTTTCTTAGAAAATGTGAAAGAAAGCAGAATGTGTATGAATAAGGAAACAGCATCATTTATGGGTGAATTTTATGGGCCTTGAGCAAGTTTTATATTGAACCTCTATACCAAAACTGACATGTGATAGGCTCAGAAGGATGCAGTAATCCATCCACAACTCTGCAGAGATGGTTCCAAGGTTAAAATCCAGGTTTCTCTGCCTTCAAATCCACACTTTCCTCCAACATTCCCACGACTCGAGAGAGTTACAGCCCTTCCTTGGCCCAGGCTTACTGCAGCTGAAAAAGCACCTCCTCCTCCGATGTTCCTAGGCTCCCCCGCATCACTGCCCCACCCCAAGAGGATCAGGAATCGGGACTGGTCCCAGGAGCAGCCTCAGAGAAGACCCCTTCACTCACCCTCATGTTCACACAACACTGTTTAAGAAATGCTGACTGCACATCAGACAACAGCCCTTTACAGCTCACTCACTCCTCAGACCCCTGCTACCTAATACCCCCTCATTGGGCAGACAAGGAAAGGGGGCTCAGAAAGTTGAACTCACTTGACCAGGATCACTCAGCAAAAACCAAAAGCAACTGAATCCAAACCGGGCACCAACCACCTCCAAAGCCTATTCTGTCTATAACTGAGAAAACAGGCCTGGGCTCTGAGCAGCGGCGGCCAGAGCGCTGGGGCGGGCCGCTCTGCTTTCCCAACGCCTCCCGACGTGCCGCCGCCTCCTGCTCGGCCAGCCGCCGGCTTCTCGTCCCCAGACAGCCCTCAGCCCGCGCGCCAGCCGGCTCCTTTACAGCGACCTGCAGTCCCAGCCTCGTGATTAGTGATGATGCACCAGGTTATGACCTAGATTTATTCTGTAGACCTAATCAGTATGCTGAGGATTTGGATAAGGTGTTTATTCCTCATGGACTAATTATGGACAGGACGGAACGGCTGGCTCGAGATGTGATGAAAGAGATGGGAGGCCATCACATCGTGGCCCTCTGTGGGCTCAAGGGGGGCTATAAATTCTTTGCTGACCTGCTGGATAACATCAAATGAACAGAAATAGTGATAGATCTAGACCTATGACTGTAGATTTCATCAGACTGAAGAGCTACTGTAATGACCAGTCAACAGGTGACATAAAAGTCATTGGTGGAGATGATCTCTCAACTTTAACTGGGAAGAATGTCTTGATTGTTGACGATATAATTGACACTGGCAAAACAATGCAAACCTTGCTTTCCTTGGTCAAGCAGCATAATCCAAAGATGGTCAAGGCTGCAAGCTTGCAGGGGTGAAAAGGACCCCTCAAAGTGTTGGATAGAGACCAGACTTTGTTGGATTTCAAATTCCAGACAAGTTTGTTGTAGGATATGCCCTTGACTACAATGAATACTTCAGGGATTTGAATCATGTTTGTGTCATTAGCGAAACTGGAAAAGCAAAATACAAAGCCTAAGATGAGTTGAGTTGAGTTTGTTGAGTTTGGAAACATCTGGAGTCCCACTGAAATCACCAGGAAAATTATCAAATGTTCTAGTTCTGTGGCCAGCTGCTTAGTAGAGCTTACTGAATGTATCCTCTAAGAATTTTATCCGTTTTTGTACTTTAGAAAGGTCAGTTGCTGCATCCGCGAACTCTTTATTTGCACTATGAGCCTACAGGCTATCAGTTCCCCTTGGGTGGATTGTTGTTTGACTTGGGAATGAAAAATCGCATAAACCACACCACTATTTAAGGAAAATATTGACATTGTATCAGTAAGAAACATTTAAAGAGAAGAATATATTAGTTTTTTAATTGGTATTTTAATTTTTATATATTCAGGAAAGCACAGAAGTGATTGAATATTGTTGATTATACCACTGTGCGTTTAGAAAAGAAGCAGTCAGTTTCATATCAGTGATAGCATTTAGAGGTATCGTTATGTCAGATAAACCATATGTCCTGGAATTATTTTAGTAGGTTTCAGTAGTATTAACCGTATTTTCCCGTTTGTTCAGATTATTTCTGGCGAGTCTTTGTCAACAGTTCCTTTTAAATACAGGTCAATAAGTTCTAAAAACCTAGCACTTTTTGAAGTCTTCGATGTAAAAATCCTTAAAATAAAGGCTGTCTCTTTAAAAGAAAAAAAATAATTGAGAAAACGTTCAAGGAGTATTTACAAATAAAATTTGAAAGAAAAAAAAAGAAGGAGTAGAATGAAAGGAGATAACTCAAGTTGGCATCGCACAGAGAAAAAAATTGAAAAGATATTTTTCAGAAAGATATTAAAAATGATCAGGAGAGTAAGAGTTAAGTTAAAATTACCAATGTGTCTTTTGTGATGTTAAAAAAATTCTATAGGCATACCTCCGAGATCCTGCGTTTTTGGTTCCAGACCACCGCTTCCATAAACCAAATATCCCAATAAAGCAAGTCACATGAAATTTTTGGTTTCAAAGTGCATATAAAAGTTATGTTTGGGCTTCCCTGGTGGCGCAGTGTTTGAGAGTCCGCCTGCCGATGCAGCAAATACGGGTTTGTGCCCCGGTCCGGGAAGATCCCACATGCCGCAGAGTGGCTAGGCCCGTGAGCCATGGCCGCTGAGCCTGTGCGTCTGGAGCCTGTGCTCCGCAACGGAAGAGGCCACAACAGTGAGACGCCCACGTACCGCAAAAAAAATAATAATAAAGTTATGTTTATACTATACTGTAGTCTATTAAGTGTGCAATAGCATTGTCTTAAAAATATGTACATACCTTAATTTAAAAATAGTTTATTGCTAAAAAAAAATGCTAACCATCATCTTAGCCTTCAGCAAGCGGTAATCTTTTGGCAACTGTAACATCAAAGATCACTCATCACATCACCGTAACAAATATAATAATAATTTAAACTTTTGAAATATTGATTTATCAAAACGTGACACAGACACACAAAGTGAACAAATGCTGTTGGAAAAATGGTGCTGACAGATTTGTTCGTTAAAAAACCTTCAATTTGTAAAAAATGCAGTTATCTGCAAAGCACAATAAAACGAGGTAGGCCTGTATTGCCAGCTCTGTCAAGAAAGCGGCCCAACTGGGACGCTATTCCACCCATCCCCAGCACATCAACATTCTGGTGCCCAGATCTGGGTTAAATCTTAACAGGGCTCCTTGGAGAGTTACTGATTCCACGTCTCTGGGCAGGACAATTCAAGACAGGCCTGCAGTAGCATGTTGCACAAGAGCAAAAGACCACTCCAAAAGGTCTGGGGTAGAAGTGATAAGGCATAGGCGCCTGCTTAAAAGGACATCACCAGCCAGCTTGTGATAATTGGAACATCAAAAAGAAAAGATAGCTAATAACAGTTAAAGGAAAGGGGTTGAGTCTGTAAAGGCCATGAATATCAATGAATATGAAAATAAAAAGGGCAACCAAGTGAACAAGGCAACTGATATATTGCCTTAGGGAAAGGGGAAAATAATAGAGAGACATTTTTAATCCATCTTAAGAAGTAGGGGAGGGCGGGTGTGTATGACTGTTCTCTTTCTGGCACTAATATCTTTTATAAAGCACTGTATGAACATTTCTCTAAGTAGGGTGGCTATGAATAAGCCAACCGCATATGGAATGAGGAGGTAGGTAAAAGAATAGAAAAACCTCATGTTGTGGCCACAGCTACCCCCAGGTAGGAGGAGGATCAGATCCTGGGCTGCAAAGTTAGTTATATATTGTCTTTTGTAAGCATTTAAGAGTCTCTAATAGATTTGGTCTGCAAAGTTAAAAAGACTCTAATTAGGGGCTTCCCTGGTGGCGCAGTGGTTGAGGGTCCGCCTGCTGATGTAGGGGGCACGGATTCGTGCCCCGGTCTGGAAGGATCCCATGTGCCGCGGAGCGGCTAGGCCCGTGAGCCATGGCCGCTGGGCCTGCGCGTCTGGAGCCTGTGCTCCGCAGCGGGAGAGGCCGCGGCAGTGAGAGGCCCGTGTACCGCGAAAAAAAAAAAAAAAAAGAAGACTCTAATTAAATAAACTTGTAATCAAAGTTAAATGTGTAAAAGTATTTAATAAAATTTCTGAGTTTCTAATTATTAGTTGTGTGAACACATAAGTATTCATATACACATAACACAATTTAATAGACTCATATGCATATATATATACATATAAGAATTTTTAAGTTATTCAATACATTTTAAAAATGACTAAATGCTAACAATTTTGGATTAAATTACTACTGATGCAGTTATGAGTTTGCAGATAACTGCAAATTAAGATGAGTTTCTGATCTTAATTTTTTAAAACGCTGCCACTACCAGCCACTGAGCTCCTGTGGCAGAAGGCAGGCTGCTAACGAACAGCTTGCTGTCAACTACCCCCTCCCAAACCATCTCCACCTCATTTCAAGCACAGGAAAAGCAGGCACCCATCCCATCTCCAGGGAGAAGGTGGGGACAGAACAAAGGCAGGAGACGGCACCCAACAGAGACCTACAGACTCAAGTGCACCCCAGCCTGGATGCAGTCCTCATTAAAATCACTCATACATCTGAGAAGGATACAGAGAAGAAACAGAGTTCGGATATGTTGCATGGTTCCAAGTTTGCTTCCTGCAACCTGGGAGGGCTGCACAGGGCATCTCACGCCTGGGACCAGCAGGTCATGTAGCAGACGTCACAGGGTTCAAAACACAAACCAGAAGCTCAGAACACAAACCGTACCTCAGAACCACTACGGCCTGAGCCCATCACCCAGGAGGGGCGGATGGGCTACAAGCTGAGCTGTCATGTCAATTTCCCACCTGAGTCCGTTCCAACTTTGTCTTAGACATGCTGGATCCACATGAAAAGGAAAACGGTCAATCTGTACAGAATTGCTTGCCAAGCATTTTTGTTCTTAAAAGAAAAAGCAAAGATAAATCAGCATTGGAATCTGGAATGATGAGAAAGAGTGAAAGCTGGCAGGTGGCAGGTGACAAAGTAGGCCTAAGGGTCACAGGGTAATCTGCTCACTGGGTTAAGTAGCTGGCTGCCCTGCTCACCAGACACTATGCCCAGGGCTCCTGGTCCCGGTCAGCACCCTGCATGGATGTGGCTGCTTTGGACCTTCAGAGATAAGCTCCTTCAATTCTCCCGGACGCCTGGCGCCCAGGCCCACGCCTGGAGGGGAATGGCGGGGAGGCGGCGCCTTGACCGTGTGTCGCTGACATGTGGGGAGTGATGGTGCAGCCAAAGCTTCTCTGCTTCCACCTTTGACCCTGCAGGCCTCTGTGTAGCTAAAAGCAATGAAAATGGGCCCAAGGAAGAGCCCGCTCACATGAGGAGCGAGCAAGACAGGGGAGAAGACACAATTCCAGGGCTCACTCAGGTCCTCACCTGGAAACAAAATTGCCTGAGGTCTTGAGAGCAGCAGAAAGGACACAACGAGTACGTGGGCGTTTACATGAGAGAAACTCACGGCAACTATTTATATTATAATGTATACATTTTAGTATTATTTTTGTTAGCAAATGATAATGAAATGTTTTCTCTGGCTATTAGATCCCTTCTCCATCCCCTGTACAACCTCCCCTGACTCCCATCTTTTATCTTTCCTTCCTTCTTTCAACCCCACCTACCACAATGTTTGTCAGTGCTCCACATGGCACCCCACCCACAAACACACACACACACACACACACACGCACACAGTGTTTTCTCTTAGGTCACCATCTCATGTAACTTTTGACCCCTCCCTTTAGAAGGTCAGCATTGTGTGTTAATCATCCCTTTAATTTGCACAGGCTCAGTGCATATTGTGGTGCCTTTATTTTTGTTTCACTTACGATTTTAGTAAGATGAAGGCAATCTTTGGGAGGGGGCAACAAACAAAATGATCTTTCTATTCTATACGTTGTTTTTAATTTTGCTTTGCTTTTACAAAAAAAGATAAGAAAGGAGAAAAACTGGTTTTTTAATTTGAAGAAGATGCTTTTCCATTTTCTCTTATTTAAGAAGCACTTATTAAGCACCTATTTAATACAAGGCACTGGGCTGAGGACTCTGGCCTATTCGAACATGAAGTGGACGTGGGCTGTACAATAATGGTTGGACTAGATCAACGGTCTTTGATTTTTTTGCCATTGTTTAAATTAAATGTTACAAAATTAAAATGGGACGGGGAGCTGGTTTAACATGCAGGTTCCCAGACCCCATTCACTCCTCCCACACAAGCAAGGTAGACAACTCAGTACAGGATGCCAACGGAAGGCCTCAAGGGCATCTTGTGTTGGCCCAACCTGGTGCAAAGTCCCTGGTTAGGTAATGAAAGAAAATCAATAATCAATAAATACTATGAGCCCTCCACACCTCAATTTCCTTGATAATAAAATCAGCCTGGCCCAAACTGTAGACATTTTACAGGGATGAGATGAGCCAGTTCATATGAAAGGTCTCTGACAACAGTGAAGAATTATCCTTGGGTGGTGTCCCAATCATACTGCGAATGTAAGAGATTCATCAGTGTGTGTGTGAGGGACCCAGGAGCCTCCCTCAGCAGAAATGGCCAAGCGGAGTCCTGCAGAATCATAGGAGGGTCTGTTAAGGAAGAGTAAGTAACACACAGGGATTTCTGGAAAAATAACTCTGCTGTGAATTCTACTGTGAAGCAGTCTGGAGAAACCAAATACGAAACCTACCAGGGAGGTCACCCAGGACGCGGTTTTCCACACAATACCACATCTCCCTGGGCATACAGACACCGTGAGTAAACAAAAGTGACTTGTAATGAGCCTCCTCTAGGCTACAAGATACACTGGAAGTTCTGAAGCGTCAACTTGGCCATTAGTTCAAGTCTAATGTGCTTCATATCTGCCCTGGTGTAGATTATTCTATTTTTACTCCTATCAAAACTGACCATCTGCAGTGCTCACAAACAGACTGTAGGGTTTGCATGAAGTATAAAAACACAGGCCAATTTAAACAAAATTCCTTCCTTACTAATATCTAATAGAGAAAATGTGAAAATAGCCCAGGTACATGCTAAAGAAGAAACTTACAAGTTCAACTTGTTTATTATTAATGATTTCACAAATTCAAGAATATTGGAGATTGGTTTGTATTAGCAAAAATAATTACAGAAAACTTTACAGATGCACCATACGCTGGTTTTTTTTTTCTTTTATTCCCCCACTTTTAAAAATTTATTTATTTATTTATTTATTTATTTTTTGAATAAGTCGGTTTTGAACCAAGTTATCTCTAAGTAGAAGCAGGACTGTTGTACTCTTTTATTTTTTTTTTAAAGGTGACACAATGATACATGGATATGTAAATGATGTCACTTTCAAAGTGACATCACTAATTTAGACTAGGTTCAAATTAACTTGAATTTTAAGTCAGGAGGGTCAAAACGAAAGAGAACTGGTCTTACCAATCTCACAGGGCTGCCATGAATTTCTAAAGAGAAAAATTACATCAAAATTACATCTTGAGTGAACATCAGAAATACCATTGGTATGTTGTAAATCAACTATACCTCAATCTAAAAAAAAAAAAACATTATCACTGGTATGAATTTTTTAAATTATCGCATATTTTTCAAACCTGCAGAATCAAGTTTCACATCCTTGTCATCACAAACACACTGAAAGAAGCCCCACCTAGTGTACTGCTCACCCTAACAGGTGTCAGCTCTGCAGCCCACGGCAGGACCAGTTTGCTGCTGCAACAACATCTTGCCTCTCCCGAATAACCAGCTTAGTGGGCTTTCACACAGAAATCAGCAGCCTTGATATGTCAGGCTATGTCCTATAAATACTGAGCAGCCTAGAGATTCCCAATACCTTGGGTTTTAAATGCAGACAAGCTCCTCCCCAACACAAGTTTCTAAGGACTTACATGGAAGGAAATGGGAGCTTTTTTTTTTTTTTTTGGCCCTGGCTAGGGAAGTCCCTGGGAGCATTTTCTTTTTTTTTTTCCCCATCTGTTTTTGTTGTTGTTGTTAGTAAACTTTTATTTAGTTAGTTTTTGGAATTTTATTTATTTTTTTATACAGCAGGTTATTAGTTATCTATCTTATACATATTAGTGTATATATGTAAATCCCAATCTCCCAATTCATCCCACCACTGCCCCCCCACCCCGCTTTCCCCCCTTGGTGTCCATACGTTTGTTCCCCATATCTGTGACTCCATTTCTGCCCTGCAAACGTGGGAGCATTTTCTATTCTTCAATATGGTTAAGAGAAAGCTGGTTCAAATGAAAACTCGTACTTGTCCCCACTACTCTGACATTTCTATCCAGAAGACTCAAAGTCAAGGCCCTTTATGGGGCTAAATCCCACAGCCGCATTTCTTCAACTACTTTCCACAGATGGCAGGCTGCAAGATGCAGCGGCCAGTACAAGCGCTCACGTGCGGCCATGGCTAAGGAGGACAGGGCATCACAAGAAAGGGGAATCACTCACGGAAGTACTTCAGCGTCTCCTCAATCTGCTCGGTCGTGAGGTCAATGTTGGCATCTGGAGAAATGAGGGGCGTATGGAGCCAGTCGTCGTGGTCATAACCGTAGATGGTGTCAGCTCTTAGCTTGTAATGGGGCAGCTGCTCCTCCAGCAGGCTGATGATCTCAACTTCCGGAAGGTCAGTGCTGTTGCACACGTCTGGAGGGGACAAGATGGAGAGATGAAAGCCCAACCTGGTGGTGGCCCCGCCGCTGCTAGTGACCTAACCCTGGGGCCTACAGCCAGTGTCTTGGCTACTTACCCGCAGCACAGAGAGGCCAGATGAGGCCACATCAGAGATCCTTTTCCAATTTAAATTCTACTCTTGAAACTAGGAGTTATGCATGCTTACTGCCAGACCTACCTGAAATAGTTCCTGCTTGTTTAGCTGCCCACTTTCTGTGAAGTAAAGCCAAAATTCTTGTGCTTTCACCATTTGGGCTAAGTCTTCCTCTCCAACCCTTTCTCTGGCCATTCTCTCAATGACTCTACAATTAAGCCAAACCAGTTATAATTTCACCAATATGCCAAACTCCTTCCTGCCACTATTTTACCATTCAAACCATGTCTCCACATAGATAAGATTTTGCCTTTGTTTAATTCATTCATTCACCTGTTCATCCTCCTGCATCTCCTTCCATCCACCGATCCATCCACCCATCACCATCCAGCTATATCCTGAGTCCCACAGTCACAGGACACACGATGCTAAATACAACAGTCATGGTCCTGCCTTTGCAATGCTTGTATCCTCATGGGGCTTCCAGCCATTAAACCAACAAGTGCCCCTCCGTCAAGGCACAGCTTGAATACCACCTCTCCCCCGACAGAATGGTGTTTTGAGCATACCAGGCAGTATTGACCTGTCTTCCTCAGGAAGAATGTGGACACATTTGCCCAGAAGAAGGGCTATGCCAGAGACTTACCAAAATCCCCATCTCCTTTGTATTTAATGAGAAGGCTGCACGGCAGCCAAAAAAATTATGGAATCACAGGTAAAGAGAGCGTTCAGTGGTCAACTTCCCCCCTTCTTGGGCAGGAGCCCAGGGAAAGCACCTGCTAGCCGCCCCCCGCAAACCTCCTACCACCCCACGCTAACCCTTCTTACTTAATTCAACATATAAAGCTTCACTGCAGGACATTTCGACTCAGGAAGTCCACATGGCTTTTCAAGTGCTTGCGGAAAGAGTTATAAGTGGAAAGGAAAGACATCTCAAATTTTACTTGGAGCTCTGGGGACTGGAGGGGGACATGTGAACGCTCAGGATTCTCTGCCTCATGTGGGAAATGTCACAGCCAGCGCACTTGGCATTTCAGCCAGCCCCCACCAGGCCGGAGCTGCTCAGACACTCTGCAAAGGTCTGCGGAGAACAGAGTGATGCCCTCCCCTCGGTCAGGGCCAGCAGCCCAACCTCAAGGCAGAAGATGTCTCGTATCTCTTTATCATCTCCCACCAACGACAAAACACCCTCCAAAAGGCTCCAGCTGAGCTCCTAACTAAGGAAATATTTCCTCGTCTCACAGTCGAGTGGGGAGTAAGTTCCCACAAAGCTCATCTCGAGGTGAGGCCTCACAACCATAAAATGACCAGCATCTGGCTGAGGGGATACAGGGTCAAGGAGGGATGACACCCAAACGATGGCATCTCTTGGCTAACCATAGATCTGCTCCACAAAAGCCCACGCAGCCTGTCCCTAGGAGAACGGGCAGGGTACCAACACATTCCTGCGTGACGCTCCCACACGACAGGCTAGAATCTTCTGGTGTCACTGCCATTTGGTGGTGGGAAAGGCAACGGACTCCAAAAAATAAAAATAAAATCCCTTCTAAGAACACCGTGTTACTTGTGAGCACACTGGCAGCTGCTCAAACGCTGAGACTCCCCTGTCCTTCCAGGTTCCCGGGGCTGAAGGTCAACATATTTACAGTGTGGGTCCCTGTGACCAAGAGGTATCGTTTTCCTTAAAGCGTATGATGACCAGTGAGATCAAGTATCCAAAGGTGAGGCTGTGTCAAAAAGCCTTTTCAAACAACTCTGAATATTTGATTTTTCCGTAATGTGACCCGCCATGTAAGCATCAGCAAGTTTTCAGCTGCCTGGCAGGTCCGGAGAATTAGGAGACGATTATAAAGACGGCCCAGGGAGCTTTCCTTGACCCTGGCTGCAGGGCTAGGGGCCCCAAGGACCTCCTGTGGAGGGGGACACCACCTCTGCCACATGGAGAAGACACATCTGAGGCCTGAGGTTGGGTAAACATAACATGAGAGCCTTTGAGAATTCCCCCGGAATGCTTTCACCGTGCCAAGCACCAAGCCAGGAGCCTTCAGTGCATTCTCTGACCCTCCCGGCAACCCGCGGCGTACATAATATTTGCTCTGACTGATAGGCGAGGAAGCTGAGATTCACAGGAGCTGTGGAATATCTTGTAGGGCAAGGTCACCTGGCTAAATAAGTGGCAGATTGTGTACGAGAAGCCTCAGCCGTCTGACTGTAGGCTGTGCCCTTCCCTCTGCCATCTGCTGCCCGTCTCCCAGGCGAGAGCACTAGGAATGCTGGGGGATTCCCAGGCTGTTCTCAACGGGAAGTTTTCGTTCTAAACAGGTACAGACTTCATAAGTATGCTAGAGGTGTCCAGCTAAACACACTGACAAATCAGGGAGGTGTCTGGATGATTTTTCCTTCCAGAGCGTAGGAAGTAGAACCAAGAACAGAGGTAGCTTGTCTGCCAACCCACCCCCACCCCTGGCGCTTACTCAAGCTCAGTGCAGGAAAGGGCACTGCTGGCCTCACCTGGAGGAAAGGAACCTTCGAATGCTCTCTACGGTCATCATTTCTCCACTGCTCCAGCTCACACTATTAACAAGCTATACCATGTAGTCTCGGGTGAGTCTCAAATGAAGGGCATCCACCTCCTGAGTGAACCCAGGCCCCGAAAGGTCCATGGCTTCTGGCAGATCGACAGCAACAGCAGCCCGGAACCCACCGACCCCCAGCCTGGCAAACCATCAAAGGCCAGGCTCACCCAGGCAAGTCGGGTGGACTTAGGCTCAGCATCCCCGCCTTCTCCAATTACAACAGCCCCATGGATGCCGGCTCCATCTGTGAAAGACACTTTTAAAATCACAGTATTGCCCTGCGTTAAAAACCTCCCAGCTCCCTATAAAGTGCTTCATGATTCAGCCCGCACTTTCCCAAGACAGAGTCTACTGACAGCTTCCCGATATCCAATTTCTGCTTCTTTCTTTCGGTAAAGTCACCCCGAAGGTGTGGCTGGGCATGTGGCCACGCAGCTAAAAACTACATTTTCCACCTTCCCTTGCAGTAAGGTCAGTCCACATGCCTGGTTAACAGGATGTTAAAAATGTTTATTGAGCATGAACTTCCAAGTCAGACCCTATCCAACTGTCGAAATGCAGAGATGGGGTGGTGCTGGAGCCGCCTTCAACTGTATAAGTAAAGGAAGCACCTAGGGGGTTACCAGAGCAAACCTGGGTGCCTCAGACAAGCGGATAGGGGCAGCACTCCTGGGCCATCTACCACTTGGACTTTTAAAAGAGAGAAAGAAATACACATCTACCTTATTAAAGCCACTTCTCAAGTATCCCTTCAGTGAAGCTTTTTGCCAGCCTCCAAACACATTTTTGCACAAACCTTGGTTTGGACACCAGCTGTTCTGGCTGTCTGGAATGCCCTTCCCTGCCAGCAAACTCCATCGCAAAATATCACTCAAGTTCACCCCATATTTCAAGCTTCCCTTGACCTCTCCCCTCTGGCTATGTATTTAGTACAGAGATTATTTCACCACAGTGTTACATGCGTTTTCTAACAGAGAGTCCCTCGGGAGGAGCTCTGAATTACCCCTTAACATCTAACCCAGCCCTCAGCATCACGCTGGGCAACAGGAAGTGCTCAGTAAGCGCTGGATGAATGATGGAAAAAAGGGAGGAAGAATCAGCAACGGGTGGGCAAAAGCCTAGTCGGACAAACACCCAGCCTTTAGCATGGGGGAGGTGGAGCCACCTAGTGTCCAGGTCTTTTCAAGTCTCACTCAGTATCTTCGTCCAGCAAGGAGGGAAGTCCCACGGGGAAGTGAATGTCGCCTCAACCACTCAGCAAACGCAAATCCAATCCAATGTCCAGCATTCTTATAGCACCACCCTGGGAGCAGAATGTAAGACCTCTTTTCACCTCTTCAGAGCTATAACCCTTCCTAGCTTTCTCCAAGGCATAAGGTTTGAAGCAGGTCCTCCTATCCAAGGATGGGGGCTTCACTGAAGGCTGTGGGAGGTGGGAGAGGGCCCTGAGGGTCTGGGGCTGTAGGTCCAGCTATGTTCACTCTCCACCTGACTTGGGTTAGATCCATAACCGCCAGAGGGGGCTTGAAGGAGGCCCCTCCATCTAAGCATTTGCACTGATGCAAAGGTGACATGCCAGGTTCATGAAACCTGCCAGGCGCCCCAGATGATGCATACATTTTACAGCAGAGACTGCAGCTCTAAATCAGTGTCCAACGTTTAAAAATCAGAGAATCTCATGCAAAAATACAGATCCCTAGCCTGCTGGAAAAAGCCAGCATATCTAGGACCACACAGTTATAGGCTCTGACTGGTGGCCGCCTCCAGATGGGCGGGGGGTAGCTCCACTGGGGTTTCTGGGCCTTCTGCCTGTACACCGGAGCTGAGGGCGCTGGGCCCAGGAGAACAGAGCTGCAAGGGAGAGGAAGACAGTATCCTGAACACTCCCCCAGGCTCCGGAGATCCTAGGAAAAACAGCAGGGGGAGAGGCGAGGATAAAAGGAGGGAGAGAGTGCAGTGCTGGACAAAGGGGAAAAGCTTGGCCAGAGAAAATCTGGCAAAATCAAAGTAAGAGAGGAACAGAAGGGCACAGGAAAGGAGGAAGGAGGAAAGCCAGACCCTGAGGCAGGCCAGCCAGCACCACGACTGCCACCTGCTGGCAAGCGCCTGAGGCCCTGGATGCAGCAAGAGCTGCTCCAGGAGTTCGGAGAATGGGCTCCCAGCCCTGGCCCTGCCCCCAACTCTGCCATGTCACCCGCAAGTCACGTCTTAGTTTATCTGGGACTTTGTCTCTCCATCTGTAGAACAAAGGCATCAGGTTGCAGAAAAGCTCTTTTTCTACCCAAAATGTCTCTGAGCCACCA